GAAGGAAAGCTAATCAATATTCTTTCACATAACTTCAAAGTTTCCATGGTCTCTGGTTCCTTGCCTCTGTTTAGACAGCTTGCTTAGACAACTGCACCAAAATCCAGGGTGAGCAATGCAGTCATTTATCACAGACGGAAGCACAGTGCTGAGGGTCAGAGAAATTACAAGATCACTGATTTATAAAGCAAGTTTATAAATATTTACCTTGCTTTTCTAAATTCCTTCCATCATTTATGTTCACATTCAAAGGGTCAAAAGAAATGCCTCAAGAGAAATCCTATCCACACAATACCAGCAACATTACAAACYTGGGAGTGCATATATTTTATAGTAAAGGAATTTGACAGGTAGTCCCTTGGGCAAAGCCACCCTTCAGGGCAGGGCTAGAGAAGTCCGCATCTGCAGAGCACTAAGGTTAACAAAGAAAGCCCAGAGCAAAGCAGCCCAGAGTGCTTATGTAAGCTGGGTTTGCCATGAAGCCACATATTTCAGGTTTGAGGGAATAATCTCAGCATGTGCAGTGCAGGTTTCCTGCTTCATCCTCCCACCAACTGCATTTCCAAATTCCTCCCTAAAAGCACAAACCACTTTTCCCTTCCAGTGTGTTCATGCCCCCATCAGTGGATATCACAACTGTGCGAGCTCTCAGGACCAGACAGTGCATTTCAGCGAGGCTTCCAGATAAAACAACTCGCAGCCAGTCGCTATGCTCTTTCCCAGATTTTGAACTTACAACCTCAAGCTGGAAAATCTCATATCCTGTTGTCTCTGCCTCACCTCTGCCTGCCTCCTTTTTGGTTTTACTGTCATCATTCTGTGTTCTTTTTGYTCCTCCTGAGGTGCCCCTTGCTCTTTTGGATTAAGCCCATCAGGCACAGCAGTCAGTAGGGAGCACGGGCGGCAGCAGCAGGGCCAGCGCGGCTGCCCGCTGCACAGGTTTGCTCCAGCATCTGCATAGTGTTACTCAGCACCGTTTGGAAAATAATAATTGTGTATCCAGTCATTAGCACTCTTTGCTAGTAACTCTGGATGTTATAAAAGCTCCGTGAAATGCTTTTTTTTTTTTAAATTCAAAAACCAGTGTAAAGCAAAGGAATATAATATGCACAAAGAATGATTCCATTTTCATTTTTTCCTATAACACCCTATTAACACAACTATATCACATTAGCATTTTCTGCATATATTTTCCATTTATTTCTTAGATTTGATTATTCTGTCGGCATCTACCACAAGAAATCTCTCATCCAAGAGCTGAATTCTTGCATATTTCTAAGTTCTAAAAGACATCATTTTTTTCCTCTTACTGCATTAGTGGAAATCCTCATTTAATTCTGTGCTACAGCAAGAGTCCTGACTTTATTATATGGAATCAGAAATAACACAAAGTAATTTCAGTGTCATCTGAACCTTCCAGCACAAGAGGACATAGGGTCCTCTATTCTCAAACCTCTATTCTCAAAACCAGAACCAACATTAAAGCATTGGCAGATAACATGCAGTCATCTATCTACGCACAGGAAGACTCACTGCAGGTCAGATCAACATCCCTCTTCTGAACTTGAACCTGAGCGGCACAGGATACTTAGGGAGTGGCACAGCTATAAGGCAAAAAAAAAAAAAAGAGCAGAGCTTTCCTAAGATGCCCTCACTTCCTCCAGCAAGGCCAAGCGAACACCCCAGCATTCCCACAGCTTCTCATTAGAAAGATCAGCCTCTGTAGAGCCTTTTCAGTTGCTAAAACATAATCATATGGGCATCGTGCTTGGTTACCTAACCACGAATATCGACCTAACCGTGAATATCAAGGGGCTTTCTCTGTAGCAGAATAAAAATTAGGTCCTTGTACCCAGGATTTCTTGATACTCATTGTGAGGAGCTCATAGTTTATTCTCAGTTTCCAAGGTTGCCCAATTTCTCCATCCTCATGGAGAGGATCTCATCTCCATCCCTCCATTTTATCCTCCTCATCTCATCTCCATCCCTCATCTCCATCCCTCCATTTTATCTTCCCTGTTTACTCAGTCTATGAACTCTCGAGTCTGACACTTCATGTCAAAAATGATGGGGCAAATCCTGCATACTTTCATTTAACTGCCTCAGCTGATTTTGCCTCAGACAAAAATATCAGAGTACCAAAGATGATAATCTGTCCTCTGGATAGCTCTGCTCTTGCAATTCAAGCTTATGTGCTGGATCTTTGAGTGGCATGTATAGTGATGCTAGAGTCTTTATTTCCTAGGCATAATTTTTTCTAGGTGATCCCTAGGTATCAGAGCAGCCAGCCTTCCACCATAGCCTGTTCTTCACTGCTGGAGACTTCTTTCACGTGAAGAAATGTTTCAGTGCCTGTTCCCCATGAGGGATGTCTCTGTGCAATCCTGCTCTTACTCCACATTCCTTATCTGTGAGAAAGAGTATTTAATCTCTCTGGGATGGGAGAAGTCTCAGCAATTTTACAGCTGTGTATGTACTTTTGAGTGCTCTATAAACAAGCTCCTAAATCTCTGCATTTCGGGAGAGAGAGACTGAGTGGATATTAGAGAGAGCAACACCAGAGCCTAGGTTGGCAGGGCTGCTGCCCTTTGCCAGGCCMATCCCATGGGCCTGGGGAATCGGGTGGCACTTGCCATGGCCAAGTGCCCTGCCACAAACCTGGTCTTTTTTGTGTTCATGACCACGCCGTGCCACTGTGTTCCTCCTTTTGCATCTCCATCATGTTCCCAAAGTAGTAAATCTCTCTGCAGAGATACTCACATGAATTCATGGGACTCGGGGCAGAAGTGAGAGGCCTGCTGAGCTTAAGCCTTGTTTACGATGTACAAGAACTACTTTCAGGAAGTTTCTCCACGGCTACTCCAGAAGTAGCTTTGTGAGTACTTACTTCAGTTATTTGGAAGATAAATAAGAGTTGCAGAAAGAACTTAGTCCTACCCCTTATTCTTCCCAGTCATTGGGTTTTGTATTTTTTTGTGCTCCCTTTTATACTGCTCGAGCAAGGGAGCTGGTCCTTATAGCTATTCACCAGCACCCTGGCCACCGTAGCAGCCCTGATGCTAAGCTTTGCCTTTTCATTTTGTTCCCTGCCCACTCCAGCAGCAGCCTCCATGCTGTGGTTGCTTCCTGGCCGGCCTCTTATGGAGGTGTCTCCTTGGCCCAGAGCTGGCCAGCTCCAGCGCTGCCGGTGATGACAGCTGCTGCACTGGGGCAGAACCAGCCCGCGGCCGACTCATCCCCTTGGAGCCCATTTGCTTCCAGCTGTCACAAGTTTGCTCCATTGGACTGAAAATAATTTCGTGTGTAAAGACRTTCTTCCCGGTAGCCAAGCTGCGACTCCCATGGGCAAGGCAGTGACTCCATCATAATTCCCATAGCTGGGCTGAAACCCCCAGGAGTGTCTTCCCTCTGCAGGGSGTGGGAGGAAAGGCTCCAATTACCCCAAAGTCCAATCCTAGCAGTGACTGATTTGCCATCACAAAAATACTTCCAAGCCTCCATCAAAACCTGTAAACCTTCACGTTTGCCCAGTTTCTGAAAGATTAACTCCTATGGCGTTAGAATGTCTGTCATCTAACATTTAATTACCTGACCCTTCCTGCGTAGTCTCTAGYTCCTCTAATACAAGTCCAAAACTTGCAGAGACATCTCCAAATTGAAACACGTTCTGTTTTTCTAATGTGCCAATACTCCATAAGGGTATATTTCATTGTTGGCTTTAAACTTATGGATGCAATATATAATTCAATCAATAGATGTAGACTAGGACAGTAAGAGTTGACAAATGAAAGTTAATTTGCAGGATAGGAAGTACTATTTAAATATACATTTATTTCAGCTTTATACCCCTCGCACAGGGGCTTCAGTCACTGCTACTATATGGTTTCTTAGTGGAACTGCATAAAAGGCTTTTCACCCAGCAAAACCAGGAGAAAAGTAAATGAAAAAGTGATAGGCAAAACCAAAGCATTTAAAAAGAGCTTGCTTCCCCAAGTTTCTACAGAAAACATGACTCAAATACTTGATGTTTCCCTTTCTGATCCACCTTTAAAAAAAAAAGAAAAAGACAATGAAATTGGAGACGATGTATTTTAGCTCTCCATCTAATAGGAATAGCTGGACTTTTTGTTGTTTTACAAGCTGTTTCACCTGTTTCTAAGGAAAGTGTTGTTTCTTCAGCTGAACCCCCTCTTCTCCCCTGCCCCACACACTTTCCAAACAGGTGGCCAGGTTTTCATGCTCGGCTTCTCCATCGCGTTGCAGGTCGGGGAGCAATAGGTCACAGGCRTTTTCACGCTCCCTTGGGCTATTCCCATCCTTCGCATGAATGAGACAATCCTGAAAACGTGTTCGCAGCTCCCACCCTGCTGCATCCCTCCCTGCTTCCCACCAAGGCTGGTAAGGAGGGCAGCTCATTGGGGTCTCAACATCCTGCCCTTCCTAGCCAGCATAAGCGAAGCCGCAAGGGAATCGAGTCATATACCTTAAATATCCCCCTATAACCCACCACGGAGTTCATCACAAATAGCATCAGAAAGCAGTAGGAGCAGCACAGTTACTTTTCAGAGTCCCCCCCCGGAAAGAAAGCCGTAAAGCAAACAGAAACTGGAGATAAGCTGCGACTGTCCTGTGCACGAGTCGGCCGGGCGCGGGTTCGTGGGACGCGAGCGCGCGGCGTTTTGGGGCCTCGCTCCTAGAGCCTCCCCCAAACGCAGGCCGCTTCCAGATGGCCCGGAGCAGCCCCGCTTCCTGTGCTCGTAACCCCTCTCTCCCCAGCTCCGCGGCGTAACGCGCTGGTAACAATAACATTTCTGAGACYGCAACGCTGCGCGGGCCAAGAAGCTGAGCTCAATCAGCGCGGGGGGAAAGCAAGCCACAGAGAGCTATTGTTTCTGAAARCGGGCCAAAAACTCTTGGCGCTTCGAGGCATTCCCAATGTCCTTTGCACTATTTCCAGGAAAAATGATTCCCAAGGCCTTGTGTATTAAAAAAAAAAAAATCTGGCTTATATCAATAAACATGATAACTGCTGTATTTTTTTCTCTTTAATCACAGCACAGCTAGCATGTAGAAGCAATCAGAGCTGAGACAAATAGTCTGCCTAAAGTGTGTCATTTCAAAGCTCTCAAATTCTCCATTGGGGAGCAGAAATTAACTTCTGGGGCTCCTCAAACGGAGCATCACCCTTGACTGCATATATGTAACACGTTCTTGAAGAAAATTTGGCAACAGAGGTAGAAGAGGCTGTAGAGAAAGAAGGGCAGTTGTTGATGGCCAAGTAAAGCTTCCTGATTATCTCTAATGGGGCAGGATGGGGTCCAAGTGTCCCCTCCATGATATAGCAAATAAAATTTGCAATTAAATTGTTAATGAAGCTAAACTGAAGGCCCAGGACAGCCAAAACTTTGGGCAATGTGTCACGAGCAGCAAGCTAGCAATCAGGATCAAACTGCTGTCACCACTGCTGAATGACTTCCACTTATTTTTTGTTAGYATCTGTGTAATGTAATAAATATGTTACACTTTTATATATGATATATAAACTTGCTGTGCTGATATAACTCAGCACAGCAAGAAGTTGAAGACATCCTTTATTTAGGATAATGAAAAAATAATATTTTTTGTCTCATTATAGTTATTTAGGAAGATGCAAAACCCTTGCTTTTTCCACATTCTGGACTCTTCTTGAAATGTTACATTTCAAAAAGAAAAGGCCTCGAAGAGGATCATACATACTTTAAGGTTTTAAGACAAATGCAAGCTTGCATGGTTTAGAAAAGGCATAGAAAGAAAAATAGCCATAATATTCTAACTTATGTGTATGTATCCTCTACTTTTAGAGCCGTATTTTGAAAAAGCAAGAGCTCACCCCTAACAGCCTCTCATTGAACAGTGAGAAGCTTGTGGTTGTTTTCAGGTGTCACCACATTTGTTGACCGTGTGCTCAGCCCCACAGAACATTCACAGTCTTTGCAAGGACAGGTCATTGTGCAATAAAGTTGTCTGTCAGATACACTCCAGAAAAACTGAGTAATTCTGTTTTTTCCCCAAAACTATTTCAGCTGTGCACTTTACGCTGTTCTACTCCACCTCTATCACCTTTCTGCCTGTCATGCTTTCCAAAAGCATATCCTTACTTCAATACGCAACACAGGCATTTTATTTTCAAAATTCATGCAAAAACCATTTCTTGTCATGGGAAATTAAAGAYGACCTATGAAAGCCAAAGCCATTTAGCTGCCTTGCTCAGCCGAATATGCCTCCAACGCTGTGATTCCTCAAATGTTATTGAAAACACAGTCACTTTATTACTCAAGTTCAGGGTGGAGGGCTGTGCTTTTTTGTCAATAGCTCCRCAGCTGCTCTGCTTCAGAAATTCCACTCTTGAAAACACGGGGTCGAGAACTGAGGCAACCTCACTTATTTATGTAAGATCAGTGCGTTGGCCGGGCAGCTTGGCCGTGCTAGCGCCGAGTCCTCGCAGCGTTAACCCCTCCTGGCACGGCATTCCTGGGCCACAGGCGCTAACGCCCTGGGGACATCTCCGTTACAGGGGCCAAGGGAATAGATGCTGCTATGTGACCACAGCCATAAACACAGCTCCCAATTAAGTCTTTGGCTAATTTGCCTACAACCAAGTTCACAAGAGCCTTGTGGAAAAGAAGGACACTGGAGGTGGCGAGGTCGCTCCCTGCCGCTAGCCTGCAAGGCTCAAAAAATACTTGGTCTGTCTGGGAAAGACACTCAGTATCATTAGAGCAACAGACAGAAAGTTGAGTTATGCATAAAACTAGGCTTTATGTGCATAGTGAGGATTAACAGTGAGAAAATCCTGGATTAAATCTTTCCTTCCTCCACTGCAGAGACCCCTGGAGAAGCCGGACGGCCTGGATGTCTCAGACCAGAGCAAAGAACATCCCCAGCACCTGTGTGAGAAGTGCAAAGTTTTGGGCTACTACTGCCGCCGCGTGCAATAAACCTTCCAAGTGGCCTCTTCCCGTCCCCATCATCCTTCGAGAACCTCTGGCAGCATACGACGAACAGCAACACAAAAGAAACCAAGACAAAAGCTAAAATAATTGCCAATATTGCCTATCTTTAACCTAGTAATATGCCTTACCAGTAGTAGAATGTAACATTTCCCCTGTGCGTGCTCACACATGCCACAGGTATTTACAGGACTACAGTGTATTTGTATGCATACATATATATATATATAAATCTGTGTGTGTGTACATATATATATATATATATGTACACACACACATGTAAGCAGTGTTAGTGACAGCGCTGGCAGCAGAGCCGCCGCTGCGGTTCTGCCCACGGTTTACACAGCTCCTACAGCACGGCCAGCTGGGGTGAAGCCCTGTTCTTGAGGGAAGTCGTGGTGYCCCCAAGGAAGGTGTGTGGGAAAGGGCTTCCGCAGGGGCTGAGCGGCCGGGGGACACGCACGGGAGTGCTCACCAACGTCACCGGGAATGCCAGACCCGCCACGCGGCGAGAGGAGCCACAGCGCGCGCCGGGAGCACCGCTCCTTCCCCAGCTTTAGTGGGGCCGAGTCCTGTGCTGCTGCTTTCCTGGACTTCTGCTTGTCGATGCGACTCGGGCAGGGCGTTTGCAAAATCGTTTGTGCAGGATGTGGAAAAAAAAGAGGTGACTAGTCGTGCGAGGGGGTGGTTTGTGCACATGGGGTGCCATGGTGGGACACGGCACGTGGAGGGGGAGACGAAATGGGCTGCTTGTGCTACCAACAGGTCCTTCTCTTGTCATACAATTCATCTAAAATGGTCCCTTCAGGTGTATGGGCTACTCATTAAGTCACAAGGACATTAAATTTACTGTGAATAAAGGGGGGCAGGAATGCTTAAAATTGCCCCCAAAACCCTCAATTGAAAGATTAGCCAGATTACTATTTATAATAGGTTTTAAAGCCACTTTCTGGAAGTATTTTTATGGCCTGTTTTCTACTGTAGAAAATTATTAATGTAAAATTCTTAGCCACAGGGGTATTACGAGGCATGAAGAACATGAGAATCTACATGACTTGCCTCTTTTCTGTCTTCCTGAAACACCTGCACACCTTAGAAGAAGTGTAGGTGTTATATTTAGTTGTCCCACTTCAGGTAGTACTTTGTGCAGGGCTTCCTGTTGCAAAGAAATATCTTATCAGGGATTGGGAATATCATGGACTGAAAGTACCTCGAGACAGTATCCTGTTTATACATCTCTTTAGGARTACATTGGCAGAAGAACATGCAACTCTTTTGCATTATTCACTTAAAAATATTTTTTTTAATTAACAAGAATAACTTTTTAAAAGAACTTTACCTATTTTTACAAAGTTTCCTTTAAAGAGATTGATTTGTATGAATGATATGTAGTAGAATTATTTTAAATCCTAAATAACTTGAGGTAAATTGAATCTGTTTTAAAGATTATTTCCATAACGCTAATCCAGAGGGTTTTTATGCCAAGTAATACTGGGATATTACCAGTATGTAGAAACAAATTCCTGTACAGCAGATTGAAAACTTAGTGAGCATTCTCATATGAAATGTGAGCCTCCTTACAAATTAGCTGCAGGGTGAAGCTTTTGCCATTTCCCTGCTTTTCTATAAAGAGTGCAAATTTATTTGTTTATTCTAGTGGCAGCAAGCCTTGCGTACATATCTCTTAGTTATTTGTGGGTGATAAAGCACAGGTGATACAACCTACAGGTTAGAGCAACAGATAAACTCTGAGACTTGTWGCCTCTGTCCAAAGTTTTTTTCCATTTCCACTGATTTCATGTCACAAAATGCTTTTGGGCCTCAGTTTCCCCAACTGCAAAATGGGGGTAATAATAATTTAGCATACCTACCTCACAGGGCTGTTGTGAGGCTTACTTAGTATCTAGGGATGACCTTGGATGACAAGTGCTACATAACACTAAAATATTAACTAAAATAATGACTTTGAAACTGAATTTTCCCAGCTGGCAATTTCATCAACTAAAATGGAGCTAATACGATGTTTTAACACTAATAACCAATTCAGTTGTCTCAGTCGAAACAGGCAATTTTTGACATTTTCAAATGGCAATGCATTCTTTTGCACAGACTCAGAAGTTAACTAAGTGACATATTTTCCAAAGAAAAACACTTATTTTGCCCATACAATACTTAAAAATAATAATAATACACAGGCAAATCTAGGAATGGATTTTCAAAACTTGAGCTGTAGTGTTAATCTAGGTCTTTTGTTTTCAAGCATGGGAAATATTGAAAGAATGATTGCAAGAGAGCCACATACTAAACCAGATCTGTGTTTTGTTCCTCTTGAGCACTTAGTAGAATATGAACAAACACTGCCTTGACACATCATATCCAGCCAAAGGACAAGCTAAGAGATCCTACTAGATAAAAAACTAAGAAAACTTTATTATCCCCCTGAAACTAAGAAGTTACTATTAACCATGCTTTCTCTTTTGAAATCCTGTCAGACTTATGATAACCACTAAATGGGGAAAAAAAAAAACAGTAAAATTGCTGATGTCCTGATGTAGCCATATACAACAAGATTTTAAATTACTAAGATGTACTAGAAGACACCATTACGTGCAATTGGTCCTATTCTCACGACAGTACAGTCTTAAAAATTATTTAACCAGATTCAGCACTACAGGGTTATGCCTGTAACTTACAGATTTTGAAGTTGCAGTTGAAAATAAGATTCTCGAAATGACATCTGATTGACTTTAATGCAATTAACAAATTACTGTAGAATAATTTTTATCTTGAATTTTTACAAGCATACTTATGAAAGTTCAATATTTATATCATGATATTTTCCTAGGCAGCAGACATAGGAAGTTTTTAAGTGGTGTTCAGCATGAGGCGTAGGCGGAACAACGAGGAGGAGAGCAGATGCTTACACTGGGAAAAGCGGATAAAGAACAAGGCGGGCAGGAAAGCAAGCGGCAACGCTGCCGTTGCCAGTGCTGCCCAGCACAGCGGCCACCAAGCCCTTCCCGGGCTACGTCCCGGCATCCTTCCCGCTCCAGGCTGGGAAGCTCATCACAGAAAACCCATGCCCAGARATGCCCATCAGTAAAAACACAGGGGAGTTGGTGCTTGCTAGCTTTCGGTTGGGGTCACTGAGCTGAAACTCCTGGTTTCACTAACTCGGGTTTTGACTAGAGATATACAAGTTCCTCTTTCTATTTTTAAGGTAATTCTTCTAATTCTTTTTTCCAAATTAAAAAAAACATCACTTTAGCATTCAGATTTTGACTGGATAGAAGACAAGCTGATTTTCCTCTCATTTTATGAATACTTTCTCTATGCTGGGATCATCAAATACTATCCCTGTTTTGGTTAAGCTGTCTTATCAGGAGAAAAGCAGGTAGTGGTGAAAAGTTTTAAATCAGCACAAGTGTCCCTAAATAGGGCATTCTCAGAGGGCACCTGAGGGAAATTTGGCTCTATGCATGTATGGGACAGGCTTAATTTTAAATCTCATCAAATGCTTCTTGTAGTCTGTGTACAGATCCATTCAGCACATCCCACTTCTCCCATTGCGTATTAACTTTTTTTTTTTTTTTTAAAAGGTTCCCTATATGTTTCTTATGTTTCTTCCATCAGTTGGGATAATTTACACAGAATTTGTCTTTGGCACTGGCACTGTTCTGGAGAAAAGTATCATTGATCTGAAATTAGTAGTGAAGGTTTTGAGCTGTTTTAACTTGATGCAACTCTGATGAAGTGGTTACAACTACTTTGTTTAATARTGATGAACAAAAAAAAGATTCTGTAGATTAAAGCATGGCCCTTTTTTAGCCAGTTTCTAGTGCTGCTACCACAGACATAAAATGATGCCACACAAGCAAAGTTTGAGACCTTTTTGTCTCAAGGTTGCTTTTTAATTTCAGAGAAATACACAAGGGTATATATTATTTCTAAAAATAAGTGTATTTTAAAGTTCCCCATTATATGGGACTTAGTTTGTAAACTAAAAATGTGAAGTTATGTATGTCTGAGAGAAGCCTTTTATAGAGAAGCATTCTCTATATTTTTGCCTTTTTATATAATACRAAATTTAGATTAAACATGGGTTGCATACTTGTGAGGTTCTAGCCATTGTTCCAAAAATAAAACTACCTGACACAGTAAAAGCTAAGAGCTTTTGGAAATGATAGTGTTCACAGGTTAGTTCCATGTCCGGCAGACACGTGGATTATCTTTTCCTCTTTTTCTAGTATGCATCCAAAGAGCGAGCCACTGAATAGCATGCAATAAATCATCACCACGTGCTTTTAAAATTAAGGGAATTGACACACATTTTCCACTTGGCTTTGCCAACACGTTTCGAAATGTGGTGGAGCCATCCCCATACCAAATCATTCTTCAAGATATCACTCCGCTCCTGACTGGGCTTCAACACGTATCTGTTTCCTATCTGCAAAACCACTGCTGTCCATTAATGTTGCTATGTTGCTGAAGTGCTCAGAGGGCTGACTGAGATCTCCGATGTAGGGATGATGGTTTGTGTTTCTAGGATGTATTTCAAAGGGACAATCGTGTGCAGTTACTAGATATAGATGATTGATATAAATGTTTACCCCTGTATGAAGTATTTTACAGTTTTACTTGCAGATGTGTATTTATCTTGAGTTATACTTGACATAGAGTTCCTTTCAATTTTTTTTTTTTTAATACTATGTGTGTATTTTGGAAACCTTTTTAGATGTTAAAATTTTTGAATGGTTACAAATATTTCTTGTAATACTGAAATGTTATCTTGTCTGGAAACTCTTTGCAGTAACTTTTTTGTATATATTTGAGGGCCTTTTTTWAAAAAGTATTGTTTGGTTTTTGGGAAAAGTTTTTACAACTTGGAAGCTTTCAGAAGGGCCTTCCTCTCAACTAGGATACTAACARAGGTAAGAGTTTTCTTAAGTATTTTGCAAAACTAAGGATGTATCCTCAAGAAAATATTTATGGAAGTAATTTACTTTTTTTTTTTTACAATGCTTTTGTCTGTATAAAGTATGCAACAGAACTACATTAAGAAGGAAATATTGTCTACATAAAATATTATATGAAAGTTGGTACATAATTCTGACAAAAAACCTTGCAATTCTTTAAGCCATATGTTTGTTATCCTTGGATGAAAATATCAGTATTAAGTAACCAATATATTATTCAAGCGCTTGGACTTATATGAAAATGTTTATACAGTTTATTTATGTGTATTTGGGGCAGGATTGCTAGAAAAAGCTATCACTAGACATATAGCAAGCGAGGAGCAAATAACCGTATACAGTCACTTTATGACCTCGTGAGACGCAGAAGTAGCTGAGAGCTCGGCCTAGGCTCGGCTTTTGGCGCTTGTGCAGCACAAGTGCTCAGTTTCCAGGGGCCGTTTGTGTCCTTTTCYGTGACGAGAAGGGAAGAGTTGGTTGGGAGGCTGTTTGACAACTTGACTTTCACAACTGTTTTCAGACTGTGAGCTCAGCTACACCCACACCAGCTACAGCAATAATGTCAATTAAAGGACATAGCAGAGAAGAATTGAAGTAGCTTGTTGTAGCGCTTTATGTTTATTTTAATTAGAACTCATAGCAATATAGAATATGCATGTGCACGTATTTGAAGCATTTTTTACACTTTACATTTCATGTAGTTTGATTATATTATGAAGGATTGGGTTTTTAGTTTGATATTTTACCATGCTAAGGTGGGAGGTCTGCCCGACCCCGTACTGGATCCTTGTTTCCTTTAAAAGGTTATTTAGTACAACAGTCACTGCGTTGTGTACTAGTGCRAAAACTAACACTGTATCTTATGAATTTCTTCAGCTTTAAAAAAATTAACCTAATTACTACATTTGTTTAGCTGTACCCACTGACCTTGGCAGTTTCAGTTGGTGACCTGTATAATTGCATTTTCTGTAACTGTTAATAACCTTGTACAGCTAAAACAAACAAAAAACCTATGGACAAAGGCCACAGAGGTGCCAGTTCTGCTGCAGCAATCAATGACCACCCACTCATCTGGTGACTATGTTGCTAAAGGGACTGTAAAAACCTCTGTTGTGGATTGTCCATAAAATGGCATTCCGACATGTGCCTTATTTGCTGGATAGTATACAGCTTTCCTCTAGTATTATAGCATTTTAATGCTGTATTAAAATACTGCAAAAAAAAAAAAAAAAAACATGAGAGTCTCGTGCTTTTCTTGAGTTCCTTCCTTGGGAAGTTGGGTCTGGGCTGTGCCAAGATCACCACAACACAAAGAAGTCACCGGCAGGTCCAGGCCAGGCCCGGCCTTGGCCCTGCAAACCTGCCCTGGGACAACCATGGCCCCACCACCACAGCACAGGCCTTCCTGAGCACAGCTCTCACCAAAGCTGCTCAGCTGGGACCAGCTCAGGCTGCTGGAGTCATCTTGAACAGTGTTGTGTTGCTTAGCCCTTTCCAAGGGGTGAAGGAAAGCTCATCTGCCAAAAAGCAGCCACAATGGAGAAGGACATTTATGATTTTTGAAAGTCATTAAGTTACATGACCTATGACTGCATACCAGGTCTAATTCATCTTTGGTCAATATTAGAAGTCCACAGGAACTACGCTTACTACATGGTYGTGGCCTGTCAGCAGTTCTACCTGCACCCAGTTCTACAGCCCAGTCAAAGTTCAACTGCAAGTGATTTCTCTATTAAGACTCCCATGGTGGCTGAAAGAACTTAAAATGTGAGGCCATGAAATTAACTTTGATCTTTAGGCATATTGCCTTTAACAGACTTCTTAAAAAGAAGAAAAACACACACCTCCAAAACTAGTATTTTTGAACAAACATAGTTCTAGGCCTGCTATTTTTCCATGAAAACATGCCTATCATCTAACATTTGGAGTTCTCTGCTGCAGTGCTGCATATTATAGTATGCTGCATACTATAGTGAGACTGATTTCTAGGAAAGTGGGAGCGCTAGGAGTTCTATTTTCCTTCGCTCTACATGAGTGAGAGAGAAAGAGAGAGAGAATGAACATGTGTGTGCACGCACATATGTGCATGTTAGCACATGTGTAGGGTAGGGAGAGATTTTGGCTAAGAAACCATGAAATTCTGAGGTAAAAAAGAGACTGTTTCATTAATGATGAAGAACATCCTCCCAACTGAGCCCCATAAAAGAAATGCATATTCAAAGCTAGTTGGTAAACAGCTGTTAAAAAAAATTACTCTTCAATGTAAGCCTTGCCAATGGTACTGTTCCCATAGCAAACAGTGCCACAAAGCCAGCTTCAGATCTGAAATACATCTTTCTACCAGAAGAACTGGGAGCTACCCAAATGCCAACACTTTCCAGATTTAGCATTCCACTAAAACCAGAAAAAAAGCATCAAGTAGACAAATTGCAAATCCTCTTCCCCCTATTACCACCTTTTCTATGATGATCTTCACAAGAATGTTTTTATTTAAAATGAAAGAGAAATTAACACAAAGTGACATCAACAAAAAGAGTGCATTTCCATCATTCTTCATCCTCCAGTACTTTGCTTTCCTCCACAATATGAAGTCAAAAGACAACAAAACACTCCACTCCAAAGAGCCAACTAGTTTCACAATACTATCCAGACTTCAAAAACTGAGAGTTGCTTCAGTTATACTTCACAGGAGGACTATTTAACCATTACATCAACATCACCATTTTCTATAGAAGTCCCCTCATATGGAAGGAACCCTCTGAGGCCACTGCAGTACATGAGCATACGAGCGAGACCTCGTGTGCTGCACCAGAGAGGACAGTCAAACACCTGACACATTCATTTCCTTGTAGTCTTGTTTGTCCCCACACCCTCTGGCCCATCACTCCAGTGTAACATAACCAGGACACCAGAAAGGCCCTACCTTGGCCTGCATCCTTCTTGGCAAAGATGGACACAAGAGCCCCTGGACAGGAACCCCAAGGCCTGAGCACTGCACACTCACCCCCTGCTCTTGCAGCTAGGGACTGAAAGACTAGCTGAGCTGGAGAAATATCGCTCACTCTGACCTCCCACAAACACATACTTCACGATCAGCTTGCGATCCTCACAAATAGCACACCACATCCAGCACTGCTTTGCTATAGCAATCAGCTCCATAAACTCCTCCGTTAACTCCCGTCTCTGTAACACCAGGTTTTGGGCCCACATCTGCTCACTGGGCATTTTTGCCTCATTGAAAGCAACACAACTGCTCTCCTCACCACCCATAGTCCAAATGCATTTCAGGACAAAAAAAATAAACCCCAAAACATTTCTTAACTCAGCCTCCCAAAATGGAAAAACCTCTTTAAGAAATCCTCTCAACAGCATACATTTTAGAGTACATGCTTAGTARCGGAACATACTGGGAAAACCTACCTCAAGCAGTGTTCAACAGGTCTTCTTCTGAAGAGCCAAAAGTGAAGTTGAAGCAACCACAGTCATGAGGAGCTGGAGCTTCCAAGTCAAGTCGAGATACCCAGCACCTCCCTGCAAAGAAACTCAGCACCGTCAGCCCTCCTGTCTAAAACTACCATCCAGCCATATAACTCAAGGCTAGCTGATGAGAAAAACATAAGAGGCAGCAGTAACCCCAGCCTTCTCTGGAGAATTTCTTTCTACTCCACAAGTTTTACTAAATAAAAAAATAAATAAAGAACAGTAATAGCTAACCTTTAAAACAGCAGTAAAACAAAAAGCAAACAAACAACAACAAAGATAGGGCATGTTAAAAAACAAGCTTGCATACCCAGCTAAYCCAATCAAAATCTATGCCTACAGGGAAAGCAAACAAGAGCCAAAAATTTTATGGATGTTTTAAGTGGAGTAGAGCGCAAGCCAAAATTTTYATACTTTTCGCTCTGGCCTTTTTCACTCCAGCTGAGAACAGCAATAAGAATGCCAAAATACTGTAAGAAAGCTCTTTCTTATATAGTTCCTGAACACATCTAAGCAGCAGGCATCCAAAAATCTAACTCCAGCCAGCTTTTTATAAGGTTTCCATACAGTTTTGTAGTATAATAAGCTGGTACAATCCAATTGGCTTCAGAAGGGCCAGACACAGTTATACCCATGATGATTTGAGCCAGAAGCAGAGAAAATACCAAAATAAAGCCAAGCCTTGGAAAAATAACTTGAATTAAGACTCCAAATCTCACTGCTTACAAAAGAAACAGTGAAAAATAGATAAATATGATGGGATTAGAACAAAAAGTCCTACCTTTACTGAGCTCCTTCAGGTAGAATAACAGCAAAGTGGCAGCAGCTGCCCACCTTKCCCAGCTGCACTTATATTGGCTGTGGGTGATGGCTGCAGCTGTGCAGGGCTGCCCCAGCACCTGCATCCCCCAGGGACACTGCCTTGCAGCAGGGCTGCAAGAAAAAACACTCATATTTCTCCAAAACAGTGCAAACCCAAGACACCCCGGCCAGCAGYATGACTCCTCCTGGGCCCTCGGGAGGGGAACAGGCTATTCAAACCATCTCTGAGCGAGACAAATGGCCCTCGTTTTGATTTTCACAGTAATTGCAGTCTCTGTATAGCTACATCTGGGGCAGCTGTAGAAACTTCATCAGGGAAATATGCAGAAGTAAGCTTTATTGGACAGGAAACTCCAATAATGCACTTTTTAATAAACTATTTCAAACTGCATTCCTACATACCCTGCTTAAGTTTCTAATTATGAAGAAAAATAGCTGACATTTTAATACATACATTGATTGCACATATCAAGTAACCTCTTGCCCGCCTTTTGGGGTATAAGGTGTGAATATAGCCTCAAATTTCTTTGGGAGTTTGTCTAGTTTTATATATTTTTGATTAAATTGAGGTAAAATGACCCACTGATTCATACCTCCATTAAAAACACATTTCCATAGAGAGGTGCATAACAATGTGATGCTTCTTGCTGATTCAAAGCAATAAAAGCAATAACAAACATAAATAGTGGCTGACAGAGTCCTTGACACATRGTGATAGGCTGATAGTGACAGACTGCAGAATCTTTGCTGATAAAAATCAAAATAGCAAATTTTGGAAATGAAAATGAATATGAAAAGACAATGGAAAGACACCCCAAATCATGCATATTCAATAGCAGGTTTTAATGAGCTAGTGCCAGTCAGGAACGAGAACGTGGTGATACTGTGTATACTTCAACTCAAAGACTACAAGAGTTAGCAAAATTAAGCAGAGAACAAGTTAGGAAAGGCAAATCAAAGAGAAATCACCACTATACCACCTTGCCACTCTGTTCTGCAAGTGTTTTGGGCCCCCAATGCCTAAAAGGACAGAGCAGACCTTGAAGAGCTCAGGAATGATGAAGGGTGAGGAGCAGTTTCTCCAAGGAGAGAGGGGCTTTACATGGGGGCCACCCTATTGCAGACAGAGACCACTGCAGCGTCAGATGCAACGTGATGAACATCAGGGAGAAGGGAGAACTTGTTGATCATCTCTACGATGTTGGCTACCAGAAGGAGGGAACCTTGGCAAAAATTATCTGAGATAGCACAATTCAATACAAATCTCATGTCACACACAATGAAATTCATACTCGTGGTATGTTTGAGCTTTCAGAAAAATAAATGAGAATGAAAACAACCAGACAAAAAGATATTAAAACTCCTGTATGGGCAATTAATCACCCTGTCTCAAGAAGCCCCAGAGAGAGACGTAGCCTGACGCAAAGCTCTACATCAGCAAGAGTGTGATTGCTCGCTTTAGTGTCTSTTCCCTAGGTACCTGTTTCTAGCTATTTTAAGGAAAAAGCTCTGGAGGTGCCTGGTGGGGTCCATGGGCAGGACACTAGTTGAGATGCCCCCATGAACTCTCTCCTGTACTGCACGCTGCAGCGCTGCAGCTCGTTTGGAGGCTTTTTCTTTTTTTAATTCACTGCAGATACTTTTGTTTGAAAAGCTGGCCCTAATTAGCTGTGTTAAAAGTTATTTTAAGCACATCCATGGGCTGCTTTCCTGCTTGCGGGGCCATGCGACAGTGCAGAGCTTGGCCTCGCCATGTGCTGGTTTTCCGGGGACACAAAGGGATTTTCCAAGTCAAGTAAAATTTCTCAGAGGTGTTTGCCCTCCAATAGCACCCTAATAGTACAGTAAACAGTGCTCATAAGGGCAAGGTAGCAGGCTTTAAAAAAATGGGGACCATCTGGGTCAAAAAGCTTTGATGGTGACAAGAACAAGATGTTTTTAGGGAAAAAAAACAGCTTTTCAGTTCATCTTCCTGACTGCACCAGCAGGGCAGTGGGGGGCATGCATGAAGTGACCTTCTTGTTGGCATAAACACATATAGTATCACTGTGGAATGAGATATGCAAGTAACTGCAGAGTCTGGATTGTGAAATGCTCTGAAATTTATCTCCTCTGCCATGGATATCTCTGCCCATCTCTCTCCTAAAGGAAATGTYAGGCTGAAGCAGACAGAAACACTCAGGCGCAAGGAGTTACATCTGGAGGCTTTCATGACATGCCTTAGCCAAGAGCAGAGAGTGAACTTTTTCTTCCCCAATTTCCTTCCTACGCCCAGCCCCGTTTGCTCCTCACAGGGCTTTAGCACTGCAGGAGATGAGGCAGAGGCTCAAACACGTTTTTCACAGTCCCAGGATGGAGGAAGCTCAGACTAATGTGTGATCTGCTCCCTCAGGGATCCCAGGTGTGAAATATGGCCTAGTATATCTAGGAGTATTTYGGAAGTTACAAACCAGTTCAGAGCTGCTCTGAAAAAGGAGGAGGAGGAGGAACCTGCTATGGATTGACCCCAGTGCTCTTCCTCTTCCACAAGTCAAAGAAAAAGTCTGGATTAGACTCCAGCCTGCTCAGTGGGACCCCCGGCTCGTTCATATCCAGAAGTGTCTCCCATAATGTCAGGTATTGGGATCTGAGGACAAGGGCAAAACGGGGCCTCACTCGGGGCTGGTTCCCCATGTGACACCAGCATCTCCAGACATCTCCAGCAGCAGTGGAAACTAATAATTCTCCTGGAAAGGATGGATTTCCTGCTGGATTTAATAACAGCAGTTGGAGACAGCCATCTGGATGCTTGCTGCTTGGAGATAACCAGGCAGTAAAATAACGGCAGTGACAGTGCAGCAGATCCGAGCGCGACAGCCAGATTTGTGCTCCCTTGCTCTAACCGTGGTCGTGCACGTTTATGAGACCCCCATGGGCAGAGCGCTTTGGAGGGAGGAGCGAAGCTCCTGCCGGCCCTCACCAGCGAGCTCGCTTTTCAGGATGCTTTTCAGAAGGAACAAGGAATTTCGGGACTCTGGGCTGTGGCTTTTAGGAGATACTTGGCTCAGGTGGAGGCAGGACACCATCTCCCTCACAGCCTCCCAGACCCCAGTCTGGGGTTTAAGGAAAGGGATTTTCCATAGGAAAGGGAGATCAGGATGAGGAAAGAGCTCCAGGTCAGGAAAGGGAGTTCTTTATACAGTTTTAGTCCAAAAGGGAACACCAAGGCACATAGTCTGACTGCCCATATGGTACGAGCCACTTACTTTTAGACTTGGCCTAAACCTCTCTCTCAGCACAGCTCTGGAGAGAGACGTTTGGCCTTGMTCAGGAGACATCCTTTGGTATCTCAGCACAGAGTTAATCCTCCTGCGTGGTGGGAACCTGGTCCCCATTTCCTGCTCCAATTTTCAGCCCCTATTTGCAGGTGCTTTCCCCCTTCCCGAGGTTCAGTCACGCTCACTCCTTGACTCTTGCGGGAGGAAAAGCCAACAATAACTGGACACAAACTAAGCATTTGCCCTGGGAGAAATTGCCCTCAGGAATTGTTCTGGACTGGAGCARGGTAGAAATATCACTGGTTGTTGGAGAACTACATTGGTCTGTGGGTTGCAGCAGATGGGCACCAGTCATTTTGGCTGRTAGCTTTTTTCCCCACTTTGGGACCAGTATCATTTCCCAAAATATCCCCCTTACGTGACTTAACAGCAGGGAGTCGGCGCGAGCCAACAGGCATGGGGATGGAGCAGCTCTCAGCACAGAGATCAGCGAGGAACCGGCTGCTCGGGCGCATGGTGCCCAACACCAACCAGAGCAGCAGCTCGTCACCCAGGCACACGTCCCTGACAGATTTTGGGTGACGGACAGACAGACGGACACGCATTGAAGCTGCACCTCGAGAGAGAAGCACCTCGCTGTGCCAGCTGCCGCGGCTGGGCTGAGGAAACGGTCTGGGAACCGCAGGCCAGCAGGATCGCAGGGCTCAGGGTGAGGGGTGCACACTGGCGTCCCGCTGCGCCCGCRTGCCCCCGCTCCCCTCCACGGACACTCTGCACCTTATTTGGCCGTGGCAAACACCAAGTTAACAGCAATGCTGCTTYGGAAAAATAAACCCCCAACCGAACACGGAGTTTTGCCAGGAGGAAGGTTATAAAAAAGAAACTCCTCAGTCGCTGCATCATCTGGGGCATGGAGGGTTTAGCACTAACACAGGGCTTACAACCCCAGTGAAGCCTGGGCTGGAGCAGCTGCCCGTCCTCCCCAGGGATCCYGCAGAGGAAAAGCACCCGTCCCGTGGCCCCTTCCGCCCCGCGTGGTGCAGTGATGTGCTTTGTGCTTCCCAGCCTGGCCCAGCTCCCGTGGGAAGGCAGGGACACCATGAACTGTCCCCCATTGCTGCACAATTCCAACTTGCCCCTGACCTCAGCTTAAACACACCAACAGGTCCACCACAACCACCCCACCCCAGCCAACTACATGGAGGGAGGGTTGTCCTAGTCTTTGAGAAGAACTCAAACTGGTGTTTCTCGGGGTGGTGGAAAGCAGTGACCCACCAGTGGGGCAAGGACCTGAATAACCACCCAACCCCAAGAGCTGGTTGTTTCCCAGTCACACCTCCCTGAGGATGCTGAGGTGGAAAAATGCCACTTTATAACAAAATAGCCACTTTATAACAAAACAGCAAATAGCACTGGGCTGCTGCACTTGGCTGACTTTCTGCTAGCAGCAACCTGGGAGGACAAGGTCTTTGCTGCTGGTGTCTCCTCCTGTTCCCCTTTCCCAGACCTGCTCTTTTGCGTGGGTTGGGCTCTGGGGTCTGTGGGGGCCTCCTTGCATGTGCCATCCCCCCCAGATCTGCCGAGACCAGGCAGCTCTGCTGAATTCCTGCAACATGAGGTGCGCTGCTGAGGAAGCTTTTCTCCATTCCTCACAAATTTCATCAACCCCAGTGATGATGCARCTTTAACTCTTCTTTCACATAACTGGCTAATAAATAGTGAGCAACCTCAAGTCAGAGGTACCTTTTTCAGTATTGTGGTGCACTCAAGTCAAAGACCTCAGYACTGCTTCCTCTCAAATCGTGTCCCAGGACAGGTCCTCCACCAGAGAAGGGACACACAGCAGGACCAACAACCTGCAAAGATGCCTCACTGGCTTCCTCCTGTTTAGGGCAGGACAYCTGAAACCCACCTCTTCTTGGTAGAAGTTGGAGTGAGAAAATTGCAGTCACCTGCACCTCTGCCCATGGCACTACAAAAGAGAACAGGAATCTGTACCCTGAACGTTGTTTCTTCAGGGCATTGAAACTTCTCTAACAAACAGATGCAGCCTCAGTCTAACCCTGATGAAAGCAATTTATGTGAGCAGAAAGTCTGGAGCAAATAATTAAGGCATGAGACTAAGCAAAAATATTTGTGAATTTATTGAGACTACTTTGAAATGTCAGCTTGTTTTTTCAGTGCGTATTTATTTACTCTTTAGCAAAGGGGGAGCGTGTTATTTCTTAGTTGTGTTGCATTTGGCCCTACATCTATGGTAACGGAGACTTTGCTTAGCAAACGTGCCCTTTTCTCAGGGTGTCCATATCTGCAGCAGCAGATAGACTCACTTCCAGTGAGCAGGTTTTACATCTCTTTCGAGGGGGGGAACCACTGTCCTTCAACTTGCCCAGTCATGGCTCCACAMGGAATATTTCTTTCTTCTCTGGGTTATTACAGCTGTGCAGGATYTCTATTCAATAGTCAAAAATGTTTCCATGAAAATGGAAATTAGTTATATTAGCTGCATTGATAACATTATAACATCTTTCATGGCAATTTTACTAAAAGGCAGGGAACACGGCAACRTGCTGTTGAGGTTTTACAGCAAGACATGTGAATTCAAAGCACTGACTTCTGGCGTTTTGGGACTAGTGAAATGAGAAACATGGAGCTTAACTGAGAGGAAACTGAGACATCCCCTCACAAGAGCCCTTGCTCCTAAAGCTGAGCTTGGTGGGAGCTGCCCTTCGTGGTCTCCAGCTCTTCTACAGCGTTGATCAACAAGGAGGCCTTGCTGAAGCTGCCCGGTGTCCTGGAAAGCCACAGGCGGTTGTTCAGTGCCATCTAGTGGGTAACAGGACACAAGAGCCTTACCATTTGCCTCAAAATTATTTTTAGGACCATAAGGCATTCATGGGAGTTCATGAGAAGAACATGGAGATCCCGGAATTCAGCTGTGTCACAAGGGAAGCAGATTGAAGCTTGGGATATATAAAATAAATACGTAGCAAGCAATTTATAAGCATCTTCTGAGAAAGGACTCAACCCACTGGTCAGATCTGAAGTGGAATTTGTGACCAAAAATACACTCATCAGGAGCCGAACTGCACTCGACAATTAAAGTTTAATGCACTGGAAAAGGCTCGGCCTACCCCGATCCCTTAGTGTGAAGATCTATCTTCAACAGAGAGAAAGCCTTACAGTTCTCCCTCTGAATTTCCATGCGATGCAAAGCAATAGCAGTCACAAACCCCTGGGCAAGGGGGAAATACACCATAYATTAAGCTGCATTGAAGAAATTCTTCACCTTCTGTCTTCATATACAATACATAATATTGATAAACAGTTATTCTAAGACTGCTCAGCTGYGGAATAATTTTAAGAACAGTGCTTTATATCAGTACCAGGAGAGCACATCTACTTATCTCTATTTATTTAACAYCTAAATGTATTTCAGAGCACTCATCATGTGCCATTTTCCATCTCACAGCTGAAGGGAATAGAGCTGACACTGCCATAATTTCACATCCCCACAAAGCGGGCACTACAAAAAACATACATAATCAAATATGCAATCAAAGCAAGGATAAGAGCTCCTCCTACCTAACAGGGTTATGAGACAGAGCTAATTCTTAAAGAAAAAAAAAAAGAGTGGTGGTGGGCTGCTTAACCCTTCCTGCTCTAACTCATGGGTTAGAGGCCACCCAAAGGATGAACTGGGGCTGTGGGAGGAGGCTTCTCTTCTACTAGCAGCTTTTCATAAGACAAAGAGGACAAACAGAAGAGGAACTTAGGATGCTGTGGAAAAGTACATCCAGGAAAGGATGTACATACTGTCAAGGCACAAAACCATTATGCAGTTTGACAGCTCTGTGTGGCAGGATTACACTGCGTCTAATAGTGCTAGACCAGACCCATGGCAAAGCAGGCAGAACAGAACCACCAAGTGTTTCAGCTCCTCCCATCTTCACTTTTAACCAAGTGGAAAAGTCCTRTGTAAGGAAGGAAAAGAACTATTCTTTATACAGAGGCATTTTTAATTACTTTCCATATACAAATTAAGGAAACACACACAAAAAAAGATCAGTTACATCAATTGAAGGCAAAATAAAAGCACAAATTAACATTTCAAAGTTACTGCAAATAAAGATTAAAACAACTGTGTGGAAAGAGTAAAAAACCCTTTCCATTCCATTTTTCTGTAAAATTATACATGCAAGAGTATCTTACAGATAAAAGTATGCAGCTCTCAGTGGAAAAAATCCAGTGCAAAATAATTTTAAACTCATGTGTTACCAGACTGCAGTGGAAGTAGAACTCACATTTGGAAACAGCCTCTGTATTTTGTTTCTCYTCAGTAACAGAATCACACAAAAATATTCAAGTATGTGTTTTCTTCCCCTCCACAACATTAATACTTTACAGCTTGAGTGATTCTAAAAGTGATATTGTGAAGTTCTAAAGTCTGTTATTGCTCAAAGGYTCCACACAAGATAGAGTAGTTTATATAAGTGAAATGCATTTCCTCCRTTCTCTCACTTGTGGATAAACCCCCGTGATTCTGCAGCACCAGTGAGGCTCTGTGATTATATGGTGAATTACAGCTCTTGATATGAGACCTGAGAAATAATTCCCAAACTGTTTCAAGTTAACAAGAGAGAGCAGGGGGAGAAAAAAGATAAAAAGGGGTGGTGGAAATTTACATTCAAGCAAAATCATTATACCYTGAGTACACCAAAACATCCTACTATTGAAAGCTCTACTGTATTCTTCACAGAATCAGGCCTTAGAGTAAAGCAGTATTTCACTTCACAGCTCCAATTTAGAAAGTCTCATGATTAGTTTTTTCTAGTTTATCAACAGGTAGAGCTGGAGCAGCAGACTCACTCAGTCTTAAGCCATTTACTTAACCCAAATTGCTCCATTGAAGCAGATACAGGAAAAATTTCATTCTTAAAAGAATCAGTGGTCTGAGGCTACATAAATTAATTGGCATTAAAAAAAACTACACACATCGATTTTACTGGCTTAAATGGACTCAGGTTTAGATTTAGTCAGAAACAGCGTGTCAGTTCTGTCRCAGACAGCCTGAAGAACACCAGACAATGCAGTTTTCCAGTGAGACTTACAGCAGAGTACTCATTTATTGGCACCAAAGGAAACAGCCAGTTCTTGACCAGTTCATTTAGCTGTCAACTTCACCACTGATTCTAACAGCTGAGTCATCCAAAAAAACTAACAATAACTCCAGCACTGCAGTAACAAATGCTTCTGGGTAGCTGCACTCCTTTCCAAATGCAGCCAGGCTCTTTATCAAACTACTGCAGCAATTACTACAAAGGTAGCTCATTGAAAGTGTTTTGATTATTGTTTTTAATTAGTACCATTCAACAGAACTGTAAAAACAGGACCAAGTCAAATAGCCCCATAATTAAATGTTAATGATAAAAAGGTCCAAAGGTAAATGGCCCCATAGGTGCTGCTCATTAGATTAGAAATGTTTTATAAATCATTTTTCACAGTATTTAAGTTGTCCTSAGTAGTAGGTAACAGGTTACGACAGCTGGCCACAGTCAGTAATGACGATCTTTTTGGAGGTCTTCCCACTTCTTGAGCCAAAGCTCTCAATTTTTTTCACCACATCCATTCCTTCCTTTACATGACCAAAAACAACATGTTTTCCATCTAGCCTGTAAAAGAAATAACAAAGTTAGACTTTATTTTAAATAATAATAGAAAGCCTAAACCAAACAAAGCTCCATCTAAGTATATTAGCAGATCTTTAATAGTGGTCACCTGCTGATCAGCTCTGATTAAGGAAAAGGAAAAACTGCTTTGCAAGTGAGCAAAACAAAAAAAATTAGCTCTAGACCACATTATCCTTATGAGGGATAGCAGATTTGTTTTGCTTGAAACCTATTGTTTAAAGCTTTCCAGACTGCTCCAGACAACAGAAGGAACAAAGAAAACCCCAYAGCAGCTATGATGTGGCAATAAACTAGGCTGTGCTCTGAATGCCACACTGATGCTGCAAATGCCCTCTGGAAACCTTGCAAGCGTTACAACAGCACAGCCTTCAGTTCGTCTCAAACATTACCCTTTTTAGAAGGAATCTAGGAAACAGATTCCAGGTCGTGAACTTAATGGTAACTATTTAAATTCAGTATTTTTCAATTTCTGTAACAGACCAWTAGATTCAAGAGGTTCCACTTTATACTTCGAACATGGACAATCTTGGCAAGCGTGGGCACAGCATTGAAAGAAATGGGCTAAGCTAAGGCAGAGGCACAGCACTGCATCCAAAACCAGGGGAGGGGAAATTGGGACAACRTTGCACAGGGGCTCTGTAAAGCCAATTGTTACCCTCCCCATCCTTCTCTTATGCTGCACCAAACAATACAGTTTCCTTTGTAAGTCAAGTGATATGGAAAGTAAACACAAACTAAAACTGCAGACTCTCACTAGGCTAATAGCCCAGGCTGAAAACCTACCAGTCAGTTTTTGCCGTGCAGATGAAGAACTGAGATCCATTGGTATTGGGTCCTGCGTTGGCCATTGAAAGGACACCTAGAACAGCAGCAGCATCTTAATACATTGGTCTAATTGCAGGGAAGACAACRTTTTTCCACAAGACATTGATACTAACAGTGATATCRACACTAGGCACAGAGGAAAAGCAGYGGTGGTCACATTGTTTCCCATCTATTTCTAATGCTGACCTCTTTCTATCTTTTATTATTCCCTCCACCTCAACCTCTCTGCTACTTCCTCCAAGACAAGGAGGCTGACCATGTGTGTACTTGTACAAATCTGGAACGGAATAATAGCAGGTAACTTGCACTGTGCCTCAATAGTAGCAGCACTTTCTGATGAAACAGTAACAATCAGAATAAGGCTATAGAGTCAGTCAGATGTTATTATGGGTGAGTTTCCATTAAAGCTTCCAGGTTTAACTTGAGCTTGAAAGGACCTGCCTGTGTTAAGTAGTAGATAAGAAATCCCAGGCTGACTTGCATAAGATGATTAAAAGCAGTAGTTACAACCTGGTCATATTTTTAAGCAAAACAAGCCAATTTTACTTATTTTGCATAGTGAAGCGCAAAGTGGCAGTGTCACCTATTGTGAGCAGTACTAGTGTCACTAATGACGCTAAACCTCAGTAATATCTTTGTGATTACAAAGTGCCCCACATATCTAAAATACCTCTTCTTTTAAATGATGCATTGTCATAAAGAAATATTATATGCTATAGTCATCAGAAGCAAGATAAAAAATATGATGATTTACCAGGTCCTACATGCTTCAGTATGAAATTTTCATCTTGAAACCTGCTGCCATAAATGGATTTTCCACCTGTCCCATTATGGTTCGTAAAGTCGCCACCCTGAAACAGAAATGGACATTAATTTTACTAGCACATGGGAATTATTTTATATCAGTTGAAAACCACCACCTGTTCTAAGTAATAAGCAGCTACTCTGCTTGCAGCCCTCCATGGTCTTCTCCCAGCAGCAACACAACCCACCCTGGTGACCAGGAACCCATCCCRAGTGTTTCACATGATGTTCATGTTCCTGGTGTCACCTTGAGCAATCTACTACACGCAACATTACCGCAATTCCTGTGAACCCCCATGCTGGGTGTCACACAGAGGCATCCRAATGGTCAGGGCCTGCAGGTGACGGCACCAATTAGGACATACCGGCTGCCTGAGTCACCTCAGCGAGTGGGATGGCTCTGCTGTTTACTCCTGCTTTAAAACAGTCGAAACTGATGACACTCTTTCCACTTATGTAATGAATACAACAACAAACATCAATTCATCATCTCCCCAAATCAGAGCGTGCCACCTACTTTTGTGGGGACAAAACAGGGAGGCAACGAGGACTTGCTTACACAGAACTTCATAGGTATGAACTGAACTGGCAAATCAGAGTTTAGGATTTGTATATTTAGAATATATGTATTTATGAACCCAGCAACACTTCCACACTTTGGCTCTGTCTCAGCACATTAAAAGCCTGGTTTGCATTTCAAATGCAAGAAGAGTCCTTTAGAGCACACTTCTCCCCTTTCTCTTATAAATAGGTCACAGTATGCTAACAGGCCTCTTGTTCAGGCTAGACTATTTTTAACTTAAATCAAATAAACAGAGGGAACACCTAAGGTCATGACTTAATAAAGAAAGTGYGTTTACCATGGCCTCCTTCTCAAGCCCTTTTCAAAGCCTTCCTACAATGCAACACTAGTTTCTTTTAAAGGAAGCCAGAGTTACCAGGAATCACACAATCCAGTGCACTATGGTGACAGAAATCCTGTCCACCCGCCAAAAGCAGTGTGGGTTTGAAGTTCCAAGTAATCAGAAGGCTTCTCCCTCTCCTCCCAGAAGGGAACAAAGCAAACAAGCAAACAGAAAACCTCTGTTAAGCACGGCTTTTCTATAGGAATTTAGAAAGACTTATCTTTTCACCGAGAATTTCCTTCAAGAACAAAGCCTGCTTTAGTGTTGCCCTCCTCAAAATATATCTCAAAACGGAGATATATACAGCGCAAGGTTGTTTTCAATTCTTGCTTCTTTTCAATGCTTCTTTTAAGTGCCACTTGGCCAAATATGCCCCATAATAAAGTTTACTGCTCTATAAAAACCCAGAGCCTTAAGTCATTTTTAAGTCACCCCATAGAGAACCTGCGTTTGCCTGTACAATTGGCATGCTAAGCAACAGCCATAGAGCAAAGATCAGAAATGCAAGTCACACTCATGTCTTGACTTTGTAGGTAGCCGGGGCTACAGCAGGTGTTACTTACCAGTCTAACCAGGTAATTGTACAGCTATATGTCTCTCTAAAGCATGATCAAACTTCACAGAAAAAAACAATCCATTACCTGGCACATAAATGAAGGAATCACTCTGTGAAATGTGGATCCTTTATATCCAAAGCCTTTCTCACCAGTACAAAGAGCTCTGAAGTTTTCTGTGAAAACAAGAACATGTGAAAATAAGAGTATGGAAACAAGTAGGATGTTGCCACACTTCACATACGAGTTACCCAAACTCAGTTAAGTTAACTAGGTCCTGGCATCACATTGCTCAGAGGGTTTACTATACCTTCAGGGTATTATCAATCTTTTAATTGTTTTCATCTTTGAAAATAGCTTGGTAATAAGCTGAGAAAAGAGAACTTGTCTTCATCCTCAAAATCAGCAAATGCAGTCCTTCTCACTCTCACTTCCATTTTGCTGATATTTCTTAACTAAAAAGCAACCACCAAAACACTCTCACAGTCTAAAATCTCACTTCCTGCCTTTTAAGTTTTCCATCTCTCTACTAGTGGGGAAAATGATGCTTTTCTCCTGGGATAGTCATCTACCGGGAAAAACAAAACCGCACATTTCTCAGGACCACCAGAAGCAGCGAGGAAGGAAGCACACGAAGGGGAAAGTTAACAAAAACAGAGCCAATTTTAACACMCRTGCACTGATCACCTGGTGACAAGTACARGCCATGTGTGTAATTAGCAAACTCAAAGGGACACTATCCTCTTTGTGTACCCTTCTCTATTTGTTTTGGAGGTTGATTTTAATAAAAACTAGTAGGTGCCCAATCTTATTGATCCATCACCGACATCCTGACATACAGGGAGTTCTATCTTTGCTCACAAATTATAAAGTAAAATTATTTGAAAATAAACTACAAGAAATCACAACCTCACTAGCACAGTTTTTGAGATTTGGGTCAGACCTTTATATTTAAAACATTAATAAGGAACATGGAAATAGATTCTACAAGTAACAGAATAATTTTCCAGCAAATCACGAGCTAAGTTATAAATTAAGGCATAAAACCCCTCAGACGAGGCCTTACCCGCCGTCTTCGGGACCACATCAGCCTGCAGCTGCAAGAGAAAGGCAGACACGATGCAGCGGGGTGCCCCCTCGGCGGGTGCTCCCTGACAGGGACGCACCCGCAGCCCGGCCGCCCCGAACGCCCCAAACGCCCCRAACGCCGCGCGGTCCCCAAGCGTTCGCACGCGGCTCCGGGCGCGCGGCCCTGCAGCCACCAAGGGGACCCCGCGGCCTCGCGCCCCGCGGCGGGTACCTCGAGCACGACGCGGCCCAGCGGCTGCCCGTCGGCGCCCACGTCCAGGTAGACGAGCGGGTTGCTGCTGCTGCTGCTGCTGCTGCTGCCGCGGTTGTTGTTGCTGTTGTTGGCGTTGCCGTTGCTGCAGCGGGCGGCGCTGGCCGCCAGCAGCTCCCCGCGCGCGCGGAGCAGGCGGCGCGCGGCGCTCAGCGCCAACATGCCGAGCCTAGCCGAGCCGAGCCGAGCCGAGCCG